CAAAAAACCATGCGGCGGGAAGTTTATGGACAGGTGCTCCACGAACTGTACACATCAAGAGACATAGGCGTTAGACTGCCTATTCCGCTGGATGCTTATTCTACGGATGTTAGGAAAGCATTTCGGAGCCGTTTCACTCATCGACTCGTCCGCCGAGCGTCTTGGTCTTCTTTTTCTTTTCCTCTTTCTCCTTCTCCTTTACCGCAGCGATCCGAACATCGAAAGTGCAAACCCAAATTCTGCTGCCACGCTCGGACATCTCCCACCCCCCCCCCCCTTCCCAAACTTGAAACTGGAACACCTCAAGCCCCCTAGCCCGCCCGGACGTCTCCTCATCCACTTCCTCGATCTTTGGCTCGTCACCTGGCATAGAACTTCGAGAAGCAAACGCGCCTCTAGCCTACAGAAGGCAGGCAGACGCTCGGGATCAGAACTTACGGCAAAAGATCAACTGTGCAAACAGTCCCAAATTCGAGACAAGTCATGACAACCCGGAAGCAAAGCTCCCGCTTGGCTCCCTCCCCCCTCCCCCAGCCGGCACCCTCTTTCTCGTCCTTCTTCTCCTCCTCTTCCTCCTCGGAGTCCTGGGCGCCCATGGCTCAAAAACAGGTGAAGGGTCTCGGTTAATTCGTGGTTTGGTGTGGTGGGGCGAGGGTTGGGACCAGGGCTTGTCACCTCGGGCGGTGGCTGTGCCGCGAAGTGGCCGTCACCTCCTTCTCCTTGGACTTCTCCACGTACAGCTCGATGGGGAAGCCGATGAACTCGGAGTGCTTCTTCACCAGATCCTTCAAGCGTCGCTCCTGAACATGCCGTGTCAAAGAGTCGCTGGTCGGGGGCGTACTTTCCGGATTGCAGCTGCGTTTGCGATACGAAAGCTTCGAGGTGTGGCGATCCGGAGTTGGGGCGGGCAGGCAGGCATTTTCTTTGCCTCTCCTCAGACATAATAAAGGCCTTTCTGTCGTAACTGTTCGAAAACATGCTCGAACTTCAGCGTCCTCCAGGAACTCGGACTGGTCTTCCTTCAGGTAGCAGATGATCTTGGTGCCACGCTTGATCTCGCCGTGAACCAACTCGGTGTCCTCTCAGGCCACACTTCAAGCAAAACGATGCTACGAAGATACATGACAGTCTTGAACCTGCAGTCTGCATACGGAAGGTGCAAGCACTTCACCAGATTCGGGTTGCGGCATCAGGCTGGACCGACAATCCGTGGGCCTTCTGCACGGTGAAAGAGCCACCGGCGCCGCTCTCCCAGATGTATTGCCTCGGAGAACTGTTTTGGAAAGCCCCCAGCCGTGGGCGACCGGAAGGCGCGGTCTTTGCCACTTGACCCCGAATGTTCCGATCGCTCTGACTAATTACAACCCCGGCACCTACCCGCAAACTGCCTCGATGCAATGCAGCTGACACTCCCAACAAGCGAAGAAACGAAGAACCGCCGAGCTCGCGTCTCCCTTCGTCTTCGGGATCTCTTCGCAGGCTTGTTTTGACAAGCCGCTCGTCGTCGTTGTGCTTGCTGACGACGCGGACCTTGTCCGAGACGAGGTAGGCGCTGTAGAAGCCGACGCCGAACCTGCTCGGGATGGGACTGGGCATCAGGACAAGCTCGGGCGGGACCGGGCGGGGGCGGGGGTGCAAGAGCAAGGGCCTGAAGTCCTCTTTAACAGTGTGTCCTACTGTGACCGGAGAGACATTCAATATCATTCAATCGGACTGTTGCATCCAAGAGGCTGGCCGATCATGGAGATGTCGCCGCCTGCCGCCATGGCCTTCCGTAAGACTGTTCGAAAGGAGCTCGATACACTGCGACCAGACGCCTAAGCCCTACACTCTTCACCAGACGCTCCAAGCAGAATTTTCTTTGACATGGAGCTCGCAACATCGCGACCAGAAACCGACAACGAAACCGTGGGCAAACCCTCACAAGCGCAACTTTCTCCAGGCCTCCATGAAGGCTTTGGTGCCAGACTTGGCCTCGATACTGACTGGGGAAGAAGCAGTAGGGCTACTACCGCTTCGAAGCATCCAGCTCTGCAACAAACAAGCCTCAGCCTGAAAGAATGGAACATCATCATATGAGTCGATCGAGCGACAATCGTGCCGAGGTTGTTGATCAACTCCTTAGGATTCGCTTGCCTTCACCCTGCTTCTGAAGTCTGAGAGGTGGCGATGAGGATACAGACTTACCAACGACCTCTAGCCTGTGTTTTCCAACAGTGCTGGGCGTTCCTCTTGCAGAACAGGCTTCTACAGCCTCCTCTGCTGTGCCAGCTTGTGGTGTCCACAGGCTGAGGCAGCGAGCACAGGACACTTGACAACGAGCCCCTCCCAAGACTCTTGCCATGACCAATTCCATCCCGTCTTGAAGTCTGCAGCAACCTCCGATTCACTGACGGCCGAGGGTCGTTCTTGGTCATGCCAATGCCGGAGTCTTCGATGGTCAAGGTCGAATTGGTCTTGTCCGGGATGATCTCAGGCGCACGAGACGAGCAAGATCGAACAGCCGCTTGCATTGACCCTAAACCCGAATGCCCACGCCCCTAACCCCTCAACCCCTCGATGCCCGAACTCCTAAGCCTCTAAACTCCCAGACCCCTGAACACCTAAACGCAACGAGAAGTCCGACCACACGGTTCCCAAACATGCCCAGGAGCTTTGATGAAGAAGTTGGGCTGCGCCTGCGGTGGCGGAGCTTCTCGCTGTCTTTTTTTCTGGACAACTGCGGCTTGCCTGTGATGCCAACCCTGTATTTCACATTTTGTACTAGTACTTAAATATGACATAACATCTGTATATTGGCTCAAACCTTCCTCTCACGATTGCTCCTCCGTGCGAGAAACCACGCATCGGAGACGCGGTTGAGCTCCCACACTCCCTGCCTCGATCTTGTCTGGATCGGTGATCGATTCGTAGCGAATCTTGTCCAGAGCCTCTGTTCAGCTTTTTTGACGTGCCATCGTGTGCACTTCATGTGAAGAGAACGACCAGAAGTCAGCCCAATGGATCCTGAATCGTTGGACTTACTGCTGCGAGCTGCATCCGAGGCGTTGGAGATGAGCTCTCGCAGGAAGATCTCCTTGTTGGAGTAGAAGGTGTTGATGATCAAGCCTCGGCAACAGATGGAACATTACAAACCCACGGCCTACAATTTGCGCCTTGTTGCATGCATGGGGTTCGTCTCGGATCCCGCACTCGTGTATCACATGAGCGGAATCGTATCGGGCATCTGCTGCTTATGAACTGGAAAATTCAGACCAACTACAGAACATCTGTTGACATTATATGGCAGGCCTACAGTCTACGTGATGAAATGTGCCCAGACACTCATCAACTGCTGGATGTCCGCGTTAAATGCAAAAGTCTCCGCCATGATTGTCCTTGATTCGGGTCTACTTCCACCCTCACGATACAGTTCTTCACTGAGTTGCTTACTTCCATCGGGTTTTGGACATACTCTTGAGATGCAGCTTACGGAATCCGGCCGATGGCGCGAGGGCTGCTGGAACCGGATTGGGAAACGGAGCAAAAACAACGCCCGCCCCGCGTCCCACAAAAGCCATGTCTTGAAAGCACGGACAACTCAAAACAAAAACCTCTCACGAGCCCCAATTGAAAGCCAGCAGTCGTCGGAGCTTTTCGAGCTTTTCAGACGTCCGTGAAATGCAAAACTTGAGCCGATGGTGCTGCGGAGCCATACCTCGGACTACGAGCTCGATGGATGCAGCAGACGACCCGCAAACCTCGCATTGACGGATCAGTGTGGTTTGATGGCAATCTGCCGCGTGACCCTATGCAGCATCATCGCACTTTCCCTTCGCAGTCGATCCTCTGAATCAGGTTTCTGGCCAGACTCTGCCTGCTGTACAGTCGGCCGAATCTGGAGACTGTGTTGGGGGGATCATGCACAAGTGCGCACCGACGGCTGCAGTACGAACTACTGGGTGGCTCAGACATCCTAGTCCTAGTCCTAGTCGACCTCCTCCATCTTGGAGGCCTCGTCGGCCGCGCCCTCGACTTCCTCAAGCGGGGCAGGTCGTCGTCATCGCCCAGGCCCTCATCGTCATCGTCGATGCTCAGGCCGAGCTTGATCATGCGGTGGATGCGGCCAGCGAACTGGGTGGGCTCATCGAGGTTGAAGCCTGAGGTCAGCAGAGTCGAAGGGCGCCCGACAGGGGACGAAGAGCAGCGCACGGAACTCCAACTGGCCCTCGACGCTGAAGTGCTTCACCGCAAGGTGGTCCTGCCAGCAGCTTGTAGACATTCTACAGGCTACAGAGATTTACTGACCTTGACCATTTGCCTCCAAATTTGGACTGAGAGGCGCGAGAGATCGGGCCGCGAGAGATCAACCCCTCGGACTGATCCCAGTCGGTGGACGGCGACTTGTAGAAGGAGGCATACTCCTCGTTGGTGACGTCTTCGGACTTGCGCATCCAGAGAGGCTTGTTCTTGTTCAGCTGCCTCATGACACAACAAGCAAGGAGTGCATGGATTCGGAAAGTCAAAAAGCAAGCAAGTGTTCGGCCCGTCTGCATGCAAGACACAAAGACTTTAGGAAAAACCTATGAGGGACGACTCTTCTGCTGCCAAGCCAATGCAACCCCTTTGCAATCGGAAGTGGCACCCTAAACCCCAAACCTTGCGCTCCTCAAGCCTCCACTCTAAACCCAAGACCTAGACTAAACTCCAAGCCAACCCCATCACCGGTGTAGGTTGTAATGTTTTGGGACCCCTGTCACTCTAAAACCGAAACCAATTTGAAGCGACGAACCTGTCCTTAAGCTAAATGGGGGCATCCCCATCATGTGTGGCTCTCTAGGTTCGGGTCCCTGGCTTGGTTCCCGAAGAATGTCACTGCCAAAATAGTGAGGTTTTGAAAGAACCCCAGATGGGACCCTAATCATGAGAACTGCCCATATCACTAGCAGCCACTAGCATATAGCTTGCTTGCGGGGGCACTGGGCTCTCTGGGAAAAGCCAGCCGCTCCCACTCGAGCGAGACCTCCTTCACCTTCCTCGGCTGGACTGGGAAGCTCACGGAAGGCTCCACGATTTGGGCTCGGTGAAGGCTTCGGGGTATGTGGATGCACGGGGGCCTGTAGGGGTGTTTCGGGGCCTGACATCTTTAAGACGTGCTTCGACAATGCAGCATCCACGCTAGGCAGCTGCACTGAAGAAATTGGGCGCCTCTCTTACCTGATCCCGTTTGTCAGCCGAGTTGCTTGGCCTTCTTTGTCTTTTCCTCTTTCTCTCTCTCCTTGCGCCACCCCAAACCATTGCGAGCATCGAACCTAAAGAGGTGGAACTCCTAATTTGTCACCTCTAATCGGAACCCATTTAAGTAGATCCTCTTGCGGAGGTCTGGAAAAGGGTCTTTCTGAAATTCAATTCCCGCCCCCTCCTCGGAGAGAACGCCTCCTCCGAAAAAAAGCGACACCCAGAAGCTGCAAAAACGGATGACATAGGAGCCTAAACAGCCTGAACCCTGAACCCAATCTTGGGATTTCGGCTTCCGGGGCCTGTACAACAAATTGACACCCCACAAACCCCTAAAGCACCCTACGAGAAAACCCAATCAAACCAAATCAAAACCTACAAAACCCAATTGAAAAATTATGAACCATTAGAAAACAGTATGAGGCCCTATCAAGACCCTGCACAACCTGTTCTCGAAGAAAAACCATAAACACTGCTAAGCCCTATAAGACATGTTCAAAAAAACTATAACACCTTTTAACACCATAAATGCCCGAGCCCTCCCCGTCCACTTCCTCAATCTTCGGCTCGTCACCGCCGGTTCATCGAGGGCTTTTTTGGGGGGGGAATCCGAACCTACGTTATGATACTTGGGACTTAAGCTTTAGACTTAGAGTTTGGGGATTTAGGGTGTAGGATTCGGGATTTATTGCTTATGGATTAAAGTTTTGGGGGTTTAGGTTTCAAGATCAGTTTCGGATGCCCCGGAAAACAACACCCCAACTATCAAACCCGGAACACTGCCCAAAACCCTTAAGCCTCAATTGCCCCTCCCTCCCTGCGTACCCTCTTTCTCATCCTTCTTCTCCTCTCTTCCTCCTCGGAGTCCTCGGCGACCCACAGAGTCTTTAGGGAAGTTTCAAACTTTCGGGTTAGGACTTTAAGGCTTAGGGGTTGAGGGTTTACGGCTTAGAGGTTCACGGGTTAGGGACTCAGCGATTTTGAGGCGCAGGGTTGAAGGTTTAGGGCTTCTGGGGTTTCGGGCTTCCTTGAAGCAGAGGAGGTGCCTCATGTTTGGGTGGGAAGCTCGAGTTGCCTCGAAGTGGCGGTGTCCTTGGACTTCTCCACGTACAGCTCGATCGGAAGCCGATGAACTCAGAGTTATTTTTCACCAGGTCCTTCAAGCGCCGCTCCTGCGGAACAAGAAATCCGGACAAGAGGTTGCTTCGTGCAGAGCCCGAACTGCCTGAGGGTTACCGCAAATCCTACTATTTTGGGGGGGGGGGTCCCTGTTGGAACAACAAATCTTTTCGGATTGGTACCTCAAGGGGAACCACAGTTTCAAACAGCCGACGTTTGACCATGACTGGCAGTCGACTGCCGCCGATTAGCAACTTTAGCTGATTAGCTAGCGGCATTGGCCATGTCGAAGTTTCAGAAAATCTACGACCCCAATAGCAACGACCCCAATAAAAACTCTAGCATCCGGAACGCCAGGACCCTCTTGCACAGGGACCCGCTAGTTTACTAAGGGACCCTTAGTTTCAAGAAACCCGGTATTTCTGCTCTCGCAAAACTCATCTGATTGGCTCAGCCCTCGAGCCGAAATGCTTTGTCGATGGCACGGCAAAGCCCTGTGAAAGGCACCTTCCTCTCCTTCAAGATCTTCAAGGCAGCCTTCGCGGCTTCTTGTCTCTCGGCGTCGCGCTTCTGAATCTCCGGAAGGAGCTTTTTTGGACCCCAATGCCCATCGGGAAGCCGCCCAAGAAGTGCTGTCAAGTAGCTTTCTGCAATGATCTGATTTGGCGACACCCCATATTCCTCCATTGTTGCCCAAGCTTGTTGTACTGTAGCTAACGGTGCATGCTTGTGGGATCCGATGAGGGCCCCAAACGTTGCTGTGGTTGGCTCCAGCTTCCTTTCGATCATGGTCTGATACAAGTAATTTGCTGCCCGGTGGCTGGCACTCTGTGAACTCTTACATGCGTTGATGGCTGAGTTGAACTGTATGACCGTTACTTCATAACCGTTCTGAATCATGTAGTCGAGTCCATCAGCTGCGCCCGTGATGTCACCGAGTTCTGCTGCGGCATCAATGCGATTGCCGGCGACGAACTTGTCGACCACATCTCTTTCCTGGGCTTCTCTCCACAGGGCCTCAACCTGCTCACCCTGACCAAGGTGCCCAAAGATTTTCATCCCAATCGAGTAAATAATGGACACTTTAGGTCGTGGGGTTATGTTCCAAAGCTTGCGGTGGATATGCGCAGCCTCTTCGTACTTCCCACAGATAAGAGCTGCTTGCATTGCAGCACAGAAAACAGGATAGGCGGTGCCCGAATAGCCTGCCCACAAGGCTTGGATCTTCAGCCAGTTGCGACCCTCTGCAGCTTCGGTAAAAGAAGACATTAGCACCTTATCTTTTCGAGGCAGTCCGTCCATGAGAACTTGGTAATGCTCTGAAGCAGAAAAGTGCATACCTGTACCTTCCTGATCTCGAAATTGCTTGGATCCTATCTGTGCGAAAGAATCGGCAACACAAGGCATCTTCGCAAGCAGGAGGCTTGCTGCAGCAACAGTCACGAACAGTCTCCTTTGGCGCGACATCGCAATGGGAAGACAACAGGAGAGAGCACGGGGAGTTTCAAAGCTGGGAAAAGTCTGAGAAAAACCGAATCACGAGTGAAATGACCGACTCCCTGTGCGAGCCCGTACCAGCCCCATGTCAATATTGCTATGATGCATCCAAGCTTCCTCCAGTTAGCCCCGAGAGCCTTGATTGCTGAGAGGAGCCAAAACTAAACCGAATCCCGAAAGCCTGGACTCCAGCTCCGAATGCGAAACCGAAAACTTGAGATTCGAAAGAAGCTCAGGTGAACTTCTTCTACGATCAGGAGCTTGAGCCACAGTTACAGTAACACCACACTGCTTCAGGTGCAGCTGCGCCTTACAACAGCCGCCATGACTGCAACTAGCTTGCGCTTTGTCGTTCAACCTGTCCTCCAGGAGCTCGGACTGGTCTTCCTTGAGGTAGCAGATAATCGTGGTGCCGCGCTTAATCTCGCAGCGAAAAGGGGCTTCGTGTCCTGAGCTCTAAGGTTCTAGCTGGCTAGAGTTCTCAGTGTCAAACCCAAACCCCAAACCTCAAACTCCGAACCCGAGTTAGTCACAGCT